TCGATAATTTTTAATCGATATATATCGATTAACTGCTATATATCGATATATATCTGCTTAAAAATTTTGCTGATGAAAATATGTAGCAATAATAATCTTACACTTTTTAAATTTTAAAAATTCACAAAGATGTTTTAGTAATATCTTAAAAAAGTATTAATAGCATATGTATAAATAAAAAAAAATAAATAAATTATATGTCTGAATTTTAAATATATCATACTTAAAAAAGTTAAAAATATCTAAATAAATTTAAAAAAAAGTATTAGCAATATATTTATAAACAAAAAAAACAAAAACAATAAATAAATAAACTAATACTTTTCAGATTTCTAAAAGACATGCTTCACAATTTTAAAGAAGCTTAAAAATATTAATAAGCCTAAAAAAAAACAGAAAGAAGTATTAATAATATATTAACAAATTAAAAAACAAAAAAAACAAATAAATAATAAAATAATATGGTTTAAATTTCTAAAAATATGTTTACAATTTTAAAGATGCTCAAAAATACTAATAAAGCTAGAAAAAAACAAAAGTATTAGTAATATATTAACAAAATAGAAAACAAAAACAATAAATAAATAATAAAATAATATATTTTAGATTTCTAAGTAATATATCTACAATTTCAAAAAAGTACAAATATATGCTAATAAACCTAAAAGAAAAAAATATTAGTAATATGTTTTTAAACTAAAAAACAAAAACAATAAATAAACAAAGTAATATAACCCAAAATTTTAAAATATATTGTCGTGGTGCTATACGGTACCCATGTGACTAGTGATCGGGTACGTGTTGATCGAATATTGTGATCGGAATTTGCATGAATGGCATGATCATGATTTAATTAAAAGTCTAAAATAGTGATTGCATGAACAATGTAGTAATTAGTAGCGATTAGTAATAATAGTGATTGCATGAACAATGTAGTAATCATTAGCGATTAGCAATAAATATAAAGCATCGATCCAAATAGAGGAAATGCTCAGTTTTTTCATTCTATTATCTTGGAGCTATTCTTAGTGAATAAACTATTATCTGTGTGAATACATTGTTGGTGGTAGTATCTGGTACAATACTCTAGTCATCAAATATTTTGCCAAGTGAGTGAAGATTGATAGTAAAGACTCATGAATACACAGTAGTTTGGGAAACTATGTGATAGAAAGAACTTGAGCAAACAAAGGTTCTACTCACAAAACTTATTGAAGTTTGCCAAATTTTGCTAAGTACAAAGCAGAAAAGGTTGTATGGTCGTAATTGAAGCCTTGGTGGCAAGTTGTTTACTGGAATTAAAGTTGAGAATGGAAGTTACAAATTTCCTGGTAACATTGGTGCAAAATATTGTAGAATTAGTAGTACGAGAAGTAATGAAAAGCTTGAAGACTGGTCAAGGAAAACAGAAAAGGTGTATGTCATATTTGTGTTATGTGTATCGTTGCAAAGAACACTTGGCTCGTTCGTGTTCGTCTCTGGAAAATCAAGAACGTGATCAATATTTGAATAACAGGTGGATCGATATATGTTATATGAATGGCAGTGAAAAAGAGAAGCTTGAGTGTCGAGAACGTAGTACAAAGGCTCCTAAACGAATAAAGAAGGTTGAGAATGTTAACAAAACAGTAATGAAAATGGCAAAGATAAATAGACAATCAGCGAAAATATCGATTAGGGTCAGTTCAGCTTTAAATCTAATAAACATTGAGTATGCAAAAAAGAAAGAGCTTACCTGGAAATGTCTAAGTAAAGAAACAACTACAGGTTGTATCAGTAAAGTCGTTGGATGTGTTTCTGGTGTAAAAGTTGATGTTGATAGTATTAAAGTGGTTTAAAAGCTTTACATAAAGCATGAGTTGTCTTGTGATGTCATTCTTGGTATACTATAGGTTGCGAAAACAAAGTGTAGATTTGGATGGAGAGACAGTAAATATTGTTGTTCGATCTGATCTGAGCATAAAGAAGCAACGTTCGTGTTTGCAGAAGAACCTATAATTGATGAAAATGTGATAGATAAAGGTTGTATAACAAAAAGAAATATTAATCAAAGGGAAAGTGAATTAGTGGATGTTAGGTATATTAAAGCTAAATTGATAGAGAATGATAGTATTGATGAAGAGAAGAAAAAGGGCAGAATTGTTAATGTGATGAACTTTGGTGAATCGAATCAAATGGATAAAATAAAGATTAAAAGCATACCTACCGTGTCTTTTAAAAATAAAACTTTGCCCAGAGGGAATCGTAGTAAATTTGGTATTGGAAGAGAACCAATAGTCAAGAAACTTGTGAATGATGATAACGATTGCGTTAGTAGAACGTATAATCTTGGATATTGTTATCGAATTAGAAAGGATGTTAGTAAATCTACTGATATGGGTCATGTTTATGAAATAAATGAAGTTAATAGTTATTGTGGTGATGGAATTAATATTGAAATTCATGATGGAACCATTGGTGTTGGACATTGTTATCAAGGTGAAGCGATAGTAGTGATGGAAGCATTGTTGCATATGGTCATGAGGATGAATTTGATGATGAAGGGTTTGCTAGAATCGTAGATAAAAACAGAATATGATAGCGACAATGTGAATAACAAAATCAGTGTGAATAAAAGTGATGAAAACAATGTATGTAGTGGTGCAATTGTGATATCCAAAATTGATAGTGATATAAAGGAGATTGATGAAAGTAAAAAAACAAATGTGGTGATTAATACAAGCAATAATGAAATATGTCAAACAGATAATGGAAAGTTTGAATACTCATCTAAGACAAATAGTGAAGTGACCTTGAACATAGAATCTACTAATAAAAGACCTACAGATAAAGTAGCTGAAATTGAAATTGATAAGGACGAACATAAGGTATTTGATTATCATCAAAATCCTGTTGATATGATTGAGACACCTTGTGAGATAGGATCTGCCGATGAAATAAGTATCATTAACGATTGCTATAAACATAGAACTGGTATTAAAAAAGACAAAAATAAAGCTTTCAAATATTATCAAAAACTAGCAGAGACAAGTTATGCTAATAGAATATGCAAAAATAGATCTTGCTATGAAAATAGAAATAGAGATTCGAATGGAAGAAATAATCTCGAATCCTACCTTGGTGAAAATATAGGTACAACCAAGAAGAATGATGAAGGTAGAACAGTTGTTGCTAATAGAAAAAATATCGAATTCGGAGGATCTAGCTCAGATTTTAGAGCCAGAGGTCATAAGAAAGTAATACTGATGAATGAAAGAGGGCTGAAGATGAGAAATGGAATGTTTTCGATGATTAGTAGCAATATGAGCCGATAGCAATATCAAAATGTGAGATCTAGAGTGTTAAAGTTTAATGTTAATCAGGAGCATGTTATATCGAATAACGTGAAGAAGATCAATTTCATAAAACGCTTATATTTGGATCAATTGGCTGGGTGTGATTGCGAATATTTGGAAAGTATTGTCTTTGGAAGTCGTTTGGAGAAGAGGAAGCTTGGGCTTGGGTAGATAGATGTTAGGGCGCTATAATGCTAATAATAGTGAAAAAAAAACTATTTAGTGTTTATACGTATGTTAATATTTAGGTATATGAATTAGTATTAGTTAAGTAATTTGAATAGCATGAAATTGAATTATAGTGCTAATGAATTTGTTGTTGTAACTTCAAGAATGAAGTATTGAGGTTCTAGCTTGTGTTGTGGTGCTACATAATACCTATATGACTAGTGATCAGCTATGTGTTAATTGAATATCATGATTA